TCAATGCCAATGATGTGAGTGGCGAGATATTTTGTTACTTGTTAACATTTTTGGAAATGTAAAGTGTAAAGCGTAAAGTCAGGAATCTTTTAAACAGTATTGAACAAAATAATGAAAAATATATTCTGTGTGTTTTTTCTTATCAACATTTTTGAATGTAAAAGACACTGTTATGTTATTGTGCTAGATTTGTTTTCTAGAAGCAATAAATCACAACGGTTAGTGCTGTAGCGTTAAAAAAATGTCAAGGAAGTTGAACAACGGCATTTACCTGTGATTGTATTGTCGTCAAGCGTCGCCCGATTTTTATATATTCAGTCCACGGCGGGGCATCAGGCAGAAATATTTTCATCTTCACACTCACGCCCTCATTAACTCGGTCACATAATCGTAGAGAAATCAGCATAGTGGGACAATAGCAATCATGGAATATAATGACCTGAAAAGGGTTGGAAATTGGGTAATAAATAACTATCATCATGGCATATTGCCTGATCAGCTGTAAGTCCCTTCTGGTGCAGAATTTGCGCTGAGATTGGATACATGCATGAATATTTAACAACTTAAGCTATGCTGTGTAGTGTAGATATCGATGAGATCCTCTATCTCCATCTGTTGCCAAACATCTACCCTAAAACAACACTCAATGAACTCAGGCATCTTTTGCTATGACTGTGAAGAAACTTTGCTCGTTGAATTCAGTCCGGTTTCCCTATCACAGGGAAGAAATGGCCCCACAACAGTTACTTTTAATATATCTTTCCCTCCCATCTGACAGATGGCTTATTGCCGGCCTGGTATTATTCCAATAAACTTTGCAGAGAGAAACATCTGCTATGCAAATGTGGCCGTATTGCTGTCACTTTGTCTTTGCCTGTTAAAGTAGAGATACAGCCCTCTACCTTGTACCAAAACATCGGGCTGAATGCCAGACAAAAGCCATGAAACGTGGCAGCCAACTCCGTTCGCCCAACAGCAAATAAACCTCCAATTACTGCTGGGACAGGGCCAATCTTCTCCCACTGAATCTTATAAATGATATCACATATCAAGCAGGGATCCCAAAACGACGCTCCCATCCTCCTCGACCGACTCCCGGCCGTTAGTTCTACTTTATCTCGCACACCGACGTGTCAAAGGCTTCTGCGATGGGGCTCCGTGTATAAAGCCGTGGAGGTTTGTGTAAAGTACGGTATTCCAGAGAGGACAAACCACCGGGACACGGGGATTGTTTACGCTGAGATGTTTGAATGTCGGATGGACCAGCTCCCGGTCTTGTCGGCAACCTCTCCCCAGTCACACGGGTTTGGCAGACGGGCAGCACCTCCATTGACACGCAGCCTCAAATCAGAGTCCCAGTTTGCGTGACCTGCGTACAGGACCGATACGATATCATCCTGACACACTTTCACTCCGGCAGGCGTGAACGAAAATCTGACGTGGAGAGAGCTAGGTAGTTTTGGCTCAGGCTGCGATACAGTTCTTAACGATTACCCAAAAAGCACGTGGTCCAATGGGTTCCACCAAGGTGAAGGTATTGACATATGGATTAACGCTTCTGCAGGTGTCGTCCTTGTCTACACATTTGTTGTCAGTAACACAATCTATTGTGTTAAGCCAGTAAAACACGTGTGACTGAGTTCAGTTGTGGCACCATTTTCCGCCGAGCGACATTTGTGTTCCCCCGCTTGTAGTTACGGAGGTGTCCGTTCCGTGACCCCAGCTATCAGATCCGACGGTTTGAACGGCGTATTTAATCTTTCAACGGCCCTAAAGTTTATTTTTATACTGTCCCCCCGGGGGGAACGAGAGAGAGAGAGAGAGAGAACTCGTATCTGTCCCGGTGTTGACAGGCTGTCTTTGGGATCAGCCTCAGTCGAGATTCCCGGCTCTCTGCATATTGATATTCCGCTGAGGTTGATGGGAGCTGGTTTGGCAGTGCCGCCGGCATGTTCTCTGACAGAATTACTTTACCACCTCTTCACAGAGGAAACAGACAGTCAGGGCCCTTTGCACTTCTCACCCACCGAAAGAGGAGAAGAGAGGACCATTGAAATTGTGTTGCTGTTGGCACGTACTTCTCGAGCTGTGTGTGTGTGTGTGTGTGTGTGTGCTGGGGCCTCATATCAGCGGATATAACACTGTTTCTTCTCCTCTGCAGGGCCAGCATTGTGCAGAAGAGGATCATCTATTTCCAGGATGAAGGCTCCCTCACTGTCAGACTGTGTGAGAAAGGTATAGCGTGTCCGTCCGGTTAACTGGCGCCCCGTTACTGCTACACGCTACAATATGCATGTAGACACGTTTTAAAGTATTACACTCGGTCGAGGAAGATCCCGCGGCATCCAGCATACATGGTGTGTGTGTGTTTTCAGAGACAGGGTTTGGGGAGACCACTGACAAGCCCCCTGTGGAGTGCTGTGCCTGTGGAACAGCCAAGTACAGGGTCACCTTCTACGGAAACTGGTCTGAGAAGATCCACCCAAAAGACTACCCCCGTGAGTCCTGCACCGAACACAAACACAGTGCAGTTTGTACAGTGTACCGCGTCACACACACCGCCGTACGATTCCTGTACAGCCTCTCACCGGTCTGTCAGTTTGGCCGAATAATGACATGTGATTATGGTTTTGACAGACAAAAGTGCTTAGAGCACATTATTGGTTCAGGGGTTCTTCTGGAGGCAGCTTGAAATTCATATTCCACACGCGGTTATGTCACTCTGACCTTTTCACAGATGATCATCAGAACCACAGACGATACAGCCGCGAGCACCTAGCAATTAGTGTGTCAGACCGGTAACTAAAAAGCGGTTTGAATCTCGAGGCCAGGAAGCGAGATAAAGAAAATCATCCAGCAAGGCACCTAACCGTAAATGCCCGTTTAAGTGGCTCCGGACCAGAACGCCGTCTTGTTAACGATCGAAATGTACATGTTTTTGTTCGGCGAAGCCACGTTGCAATGTAGTCACAGCTTACAGGATGCATGTTGGCATGGAATAAAGAAAACAAGTGTCGGCACGTTATAGTACATCCCAGGGATTTGTAGTAGGCGTGATGGGCTTAAAGAGATTAACTGTATGGTTGTACTGTCCCTCTGGCAGGATATGGAGTCTTTGACGGAGGGAAATGTATCACATAATTACATTTAAGGGTTTCTGAGGCGAGTGTTGAGTGACCGGTTTTTGATAGATTTCAATACACAAATTGTTGTGTGTGTGTGTGTGTGTGTGTGTGTGGTATTTCAGCTTCAACACTCGTTAATGATGAGAGCTCCCACAGTGGTAATGCAGGCCTGTCACAGTGTAGCTAACAGTGGCCTTCCAGCCACATCCCTGACTAATGAACACTGTCTCCCAGGAACACCCACTAGACACAGTCAAAGCCGGGAGCTATATATCAGCCTTTACACCTACCGCACACACACGCACACACACACACACACACACACACACACGCACACGCACACAGTCAACTGGTTCTTTGTCAAACTGTCTCTTTGTTTCCCTACTGTGCAGGACGGGCCAATCATTGGTCAGCCCTCATTGGGGCCTCCCACTCCAGGAACTATGTCCTTTGGGAGTACGGCGGCTTTGCCAGCGAAGGGGTGAAACAGGTGGCAGAGCTGGGCTCCCCGGTTAAGATGGAGGAGGAGATAAGACAGAAGGTAGGTCTTCAGATCCCTACGGGCTTCAGAACTGTCCACGTATGTTGGTTCGCTAAACTGGCTGGCATATGACACAGACTCTATGGTGTCTGGGTTTTTCTATTCTTTCAACTTGGCATTTTCTGTGCAGCCTTTCATTGTCAGGCGTCTCCGGCTTTGTCTCCAGCATGTACAACGTTGATCAATTAAACATGGGCCTTCTAGTCATCTTCGTGAAGCTTGTACATCGGCAGGTCTGCACCGCTCTGCTGTTTAATGCTGTTGTCCTGCTCTCAGGTGACTTTGCTCTAATCGAGCATTAAGGCCAGATGTGATGAGGGGCATTATGGGACGCCTGTGGAGGAACTAATTATTAATTCAGGAATCGGTGAGAGCGGAATGCCTGCCGCACGGAAAATTAAAATTAAATTAAAATAAACCGATAATTTAGCAGTCGACCGGCCAGCTGTTCCAGGTATCAACAATCCAAACCTTCAGCAACGCATCACGTCTGTCCTACTGTTTCGTCTTATTCCCCTCCCTCCCTTCTCCCGAGCACATACTCATGCGAACACACGGGACAGAAAGTCACGGCGAATCACCAAATCCAACACAATGCTCCGTCGTAGACACCACAACGCCCCTTTCAGCTCCCAGTGACCTCCCAGTGACATCTCAGTGACCTCCCTGGAACCAGTTCAAACCTCAGATCGATTCAATAGCCACTCCTTACTCATTAGACTTTCAAATGTCAATTGTAATACATACATATTTATATACACAACCCCCCATACGCACACGCACACACACACGCACACACACACACACACACACACACACACACACACACACACACACACACACACACACACACACACACACACACACACAGACAGACAAACACACACCCATAACCAAACAAATGTTTAGGTCCCCCTGCTCTTCCTGTCTCCCCCATAACTATTTATACTCCTTCATTTTTCCAAGTTGTTTTTGTTCTCTCTTTTGTTCTCTAACTTCCCTCTGGCTTCCACTCCAGCCCTCTGAATTCCAACGATTCACCCATCAATCCAAGTACACAATCAGCCTCTGGCTCTCTACCACTCTATATATCTGGCTGTGGTACTTGGTATTTAATCCTGTCTACCAGCACTGTGTCTTCTGACTCTTAAAGATGAATATTTTACCCAACAGAACGACCATATTTTCAATTGATCTAATGTAGCCCTCAAAATTTCCCATTAATACCGACTGGATATTTTCTGAACGCTGCTACCAAGACAAAATAGCTATTTTTGAACTCCCGAAAAAGTCTACCAACAGACAATACCAAAATAGATAGTGTATTTGGAGCAGATGTTGTAGTTCAGTGGTAGAGTACATGCTTTGTATATATGACGTCCTGGGTTCAATCCCCAGCTTCTCTCCAGGTCGCCGTTGCAAATGAAAATCTGTTCTCAATCGGCCTGCCTGGTTAAATAAAAATATGTATTTGGTTTTGTTTCCTCATGACATAGTCTGCATAGGGCAGACTGCTCAATATCCCATATAGACAGTATTTTGTAGCTAGTATTCAGAAAAGGTCAAAGGGCACACAGGAAAAGCTCACGTTCCACATGGAGACATTTCAGGTGGATGACATTCTACGTCCTGTGTCATGCCAATCTGATCAGTTGTTAGGAAATCTGGAGCTGGGCCACAAACACCTGAGACAGTGTTCCTGTTTTACTTTTGTCAATTATAAGTATGACTTCTATTAGTACAGCAGCACCATGTGTTGTTTTATATGTTACATAAATGAAACTGACCAAAATTGAAAGCAGGAATGATTAATTAGTTAATTTGTACTTACCATAGAAGATGTTGATGTGTCCAGATTAAAAAATATGACTTATAGGATATGTTATGACTTGTTATGACTGGTGGGGATGTTATGACATGTTATGACTGGTGGGGATGTTATGACATGTTATGAGCAGTGGGGATGTTATGACTTGTTATGATTGGTGGGGATGTTATGACATGTTATGACTGGTGGGGATGTTATGACTTGTTATGAGCAGTGGGGATGTTATGACTTGTTATGAGCAGTGGGGATGTTATGACTTGTTATGAGCAGTGGGGATGTTATGACATGTTATGAGCAGTGGGGATGTTATGACTTGTTATGACTGGTGGGGATGTTATGAGTTGTTATGACTGGTGGGGATGTTATGACTTGTTATGACTGGTGGGGATGTTATGACATGTTATGACTGGTGGGGATGTTATGACTTGTTATGACTGGTGGGGATGTTATGACTTGTTATGATTGGTGGGGATGTTATGACATGTTATGAGCAGTGGGGATGTTATGACTTGTTATGACTGGTGGGGATGTTATGACATGTTATGACTGGTGGGGATGTTATGACATGTTATGAGCAGTGGGGATGTTATGACTTGTTATGACTGGTGGGGATGTTATGAGTTGTTATGACTGGTGGGGATGTTATGACTTGTTATGACTGGTGGGGATGTTATGACATGTTATGACTGGTGGGGATGTTATGACATGTTATGAGCAGTGGGGATGTTATGACTTGTTATGACTGGTGGGGATGTTATGAGTTGTTATGACTGGTGGGGATGTTATGACTTGTTATGACTGGTGGGGATGTTATGACATGTTATGACTGGTGGGGATGTTATGACATGTTATGAGCAGTGGGGATGTTATGACTTGTTATGATTGGTGGGGATGTTATGACATGTTATGAGCAGTGGGGATGTTATGACTTGTTATGACTGGTGGGGATGTTATGACATGTTATGACTGGTGGGGATGTTATGACATGTTATGAGCAGTGGGGATGTTATGACTTGTTATGATTGGTGGGGATGTTATGACATGTTATGAGCAGTGGGGATGTTATGACTTGTTATGACTGGTGGGGATGTTATGACATGTTATGACTGGTGGGGATGTTATGACATGTTATGAGCAGTGGGGATGTTATGACTTGTTATGACTGGTGGGGATGTTATGAGTTGTTATGACTGGTGGGGATGTTATGACTTGTTATGACTGGTGGGGATGTTATGACATGTTATGACTGGTGGGGATGTTATGACTTGTTATGACTGGTGGGGATGTTATGACATGTTATGACTGGTGGGGATGTTATGACATGTTATGACTGGTGGGGATGTTATGACTTGTTATGACTGGTGGGGATGTTATGACATGTTATGACTGGTGGGGATGTTATGACTTGTTATGAGCAGTGGGGATGTTATGACTTGTTATGATTGGTGGGGATGTTATGACATGTTATGACTGGTGGGGATGTTATGACTTGTTATGACTGGTGGGGATGTTATGACATGTTATGACTGGTGGGGATGTTATGACTTGTTATGAGCAGTGGGGATGTTATGACTTGTTATGATTGGTGGGGATGTTATGACATGTTATGAGCAGTGGGGATGTTATGACTTGTTATGACTGGTGGGGATGTTATGAGTTGTTATGACTGGTGGGGATGTTATGACTTGTTATGACTGGTGGGGATGTTATGACATGTTATGACTGGTGGGGATGTTATGACTTGTTATGACTGGTGGGGATGTTATGACATGTTATGACTGGTGGGGATGTTATGACATGTTATGACTGGTGGGGATGTTATGACTTGTTATGACTGGTGGGGATGTTATGACATGTTATGACTGGTGGGGATGTTATGACTTGTTATGAGCAGTGGGGATGTTATGACTTGTTATGATTGGTGGGGATGTTATGACATGTTATGACTGGTGGGGATGTTATGACTTGTTATGACTGGTGGGGATGTTATGACATGTTATGACTGGTGGGGATGTTATGACTTGTTATGAGCAGTGGGGATGTTATGACTTGTTATGATTGGTGGGGATGTTATGACATGTTATGACTGGTGGGGATGTTATGACTTGTTATGAGCAGTGGGGATGTTATGACTTGTTATGATTGGTGGGGATGTTATGACATGTTATGACTGGTGGGGATGTTATGACTTGTTATGAGCAGTGGGGATGTTATGACTTGTTATGAGCAGTGGGGATGTTATGACTTGTTATGAGCAGTGGGGATGTTATGACTTGTTATGAGCAGTGGGGATGTTATGACTTGTTATGACTGGTGGGGATGTTATGAGTTGTTATGACTGGTGGGGATGTTATGACTTGTTATGACTGGTGGGGATGTTATGACATGTTATGACTGGTGGGGATGTTATGACTTGTTATGACTGGTGGGGATGTTATGACTTGTTATGACTGGTGGGGATGTTATGACTTGTTATGACTGGTGGGGATGTTATGACTTGTTATGACTGGTGGGGATGTTATGACTTGTTATGACTGGTGGGGATGTTATGACATGTTATGAGCAGTGGGGATGTTATGACATGTTATGAGCAGTGGGGATGTTATGACATGTTATGACTGGTGGGGATGTTATGACATGTTATGACTGGTGGGGATGTTATGACATGTTATGAGCAGTGGGGATGTTATGACTTGTTATGACTGGTGGGGATGTTATGACTTGTTATGACTGGTGGGGATGTTATGACTTGTTATGACTGGTGGGGATGTTATGACATGTTATGAGCAGTGGGGATGTTATGACATGTTATGAGCAGTGGGGATGTTATGACATGTTATGACTGGTGGGGATGTTATGACATGTTATGACTGGTGGGGATGTTATGACTTGTTATGACTGGTGGGGATGTTATGACATGTTATGACTGGTGGGGATGTTACGACATGTTATGACTGGTGGGGATGTTATGACATGTTATGAGCAGTGGGGATGTTATGACTTGTTATGACTGGTGGGGATGTTACGACATGTTATGACTGGTGGGGATGTTATGACATGTTATGAGCAGTGGGGATGTTATGACTTGTTATGACTGGTGGGGATGTTATGACATGTTATGAGCAGTGGGGATGTTATGACTTGTTATGAGCAGTGGGGATGTTATGAGTTGTTATGAGCAGTGGTTATGACTTGTTATGAGCAGTGGTTATGACTTGTAATAACCCTTGGGGATGTTATGACTTGTCGTGAGTTATGAGGGGTGGTGTTTTCTGATTCATTTGTGGATGTGACATTGACAAGTGTTCTCAGTTCCATGTCATCCACATTTGTGACTTGGCTTGTCAACACACAATCTACACCATTCATCAAAACTGAATGGCAACTCTTATATCATACACCAAGGTGAGAGCTCATATCTCCCTACACTTTATCCCCCGGTTTTTGCGTTTTAGATCCAATTTATATTTGATAAATATATGTTTTGCCTTTTATCCACACCTCATGTTTTCAGAATGTATACAATTTATTGTATATAAAGACAATTTGCTACAACACTCCAAATGTATCATCTTTGAGCTCTCTCTGGGACTTGAGTCCACTGGAGGCCATTCCAGTTGACTAAAAAGGATTTAAAAGGGAACACAAATGCCTACACGCGCTCCCGGACCTCACAGTGCATATCCGAGCAAGTCCGAGGAACTCTCCGTAGACCTTAGAGAAAGAGTTGTTTCGAGGCACAGATTTGGGGGAGAATATTAACCAAAAATGCTAAAGCATGGCCTGCAGCACATTGGGCCCTGTCATTGTGAAATTGAAAACTGAAGTCCGGAACCACTCGTGCACATTCTGAACTAAACCACTGGACCGGGCTGGACCCTCTGGACGAACCCAATGCCTCCTCTAAAAGAGTTTCTCTGCCGCGATGGGAGAAGCTGCATGAAGGACAACCGTAAGTGTCATGGAAAGCGACGACAGGAGGGATACTGGTGCCAATAATGAATGACATCAGGGGATCAGTGTCTTTATGTTTTTAATACCGTGTGGTGTCGTGTTAAAGTCTGCTGTGCCACAGAGTCCTTAGGGTTGAGGTGGTGAGAAATGGGAGAACCTGAACGTGCACAATCGCCAGCACCACACGTGCACAGATCATAGTGTCTACTGCTTTCTAGCAAGCATGGCAAAGGTGATACTTAAAGACTAAATACAATACAGAAGAGACGAACTGTCTGCAACTCTGAGAGAAAATGTAAACGAATACATCAAAGAGCTATTTTAGAAAATATTTTTCTGTGGTTGTCGTTTGGCATTTCCGAACGGTCTTGTCCGAATGCGGTCTCGATGATCCCTGGTACAATTCCAGCAGGGGTGATGGGATTACCATGGTTTCTGGGTTGCCTTGCCAACGCCTGGATTTCAACCTTATTGAAAATATTTGGTGAGACCTAAAGATTGCGACAGAACAGTGCTGCCCGTCCGATCTGAGATACAGCAGCTTGGGATGATACTCAGGGAAGAATGGGTGAAACTGTCTGAATCCAAATGTGGCGCATCTGGTAAAGATATAACCAGGTTCT